AAGGATCTTTATGAGTGAAATTTACAATGACGTCGGTAATCAAACGACTTTGAAACAAGAATCTAATGTGTATCAGGCCTGAGCACGTAGGGGCCGATTTTTTTATCCACGATGATGTCGTTTATTCCACAACCCTCCTTTTTTATCGAGATATTTTTTAATTGCGCTCGAAAACATTTAAGTTGAGCTAAATTCGCTTCGAGTCTTATCGGGTTTTCATTTACCTCATTATGAAGGTGATTGGTAATTGCCTTCTCTAATAAACGTATGTTAGAAGTGATTATTGAAATATGTCGCACAATATCAGATTTATTTTACAATAATTTAATTTAATTTCGCGTTAGATTAACGATGTTGTTGCTTAAACTTGTAACAGATTCCACCTCTACCTATAATTAAAACTGTTATCCTATATAGTTCCTTGAAACGAGAAGAGATGCTTGCAAACACGGTGCTGCGACAAATTCCAAGAGCGGCAGGAAATACGTTATCGTATCTTACGAAATGCGATATACCTACAGATACCACGTCAATATGAGATCTCACGGATTAAAAATCATTTATAAGTTCATCTTCCAAGTATATTAAAGAATATTATCATTGTTAAACTGAGGTGTAGAATGGTCTCTGCTGTCTTTGCTATCTTCTGGGAATCTTCAAGGTTGCAGGTGTTCCACGGGTATCATTTGCTAACACTATAATTTTGCAAACACCATGGAAATATACGTTTCCTGCAAAAGCGTGCAAGTGTCAGGACAATGGTTGATATGTGTGTGAGAACGTCCTTGATGTTATTTCAGAATCCCTCTTTTGCTAACTCCAACAAAAACCTTCACATATATACCTAGGGGTAGTCATAGTCATTTTGCAGCACAAGTGTTAATCTGCACGTTATCGTCATGTCTTCAACCAAACGCGCCAACAACAAGTTGACTTTAAAGAAAAGTGCAACGAGTAAGAAGCCTTACATAAATGCCTGTGGGGGTGGTGGACGCTCAATCTTAAAGACCGCCTTAGAAAATCCTACAAAGTTATCCGATGGTGATGTGATCAACCTCCTCACGGAAGATAAAGAAGGACATCCGGAAAGGTAAGTTGTAAACTTGTATAATAATTTAGTTCTCGCTCTCCACCATCCATATAGATACTAATGTTGTATTATTTTATTTTTTATAGAACAATAGCTACCACCACCACCACCACCACAAATGAACTGGAAGATTTTTTCTAAAAGAATATGAGGGAAATTTCAATCATGTTTACGCTCCTCCAATTACAACGATTCCTCCATCTCACATGAGACCACCGGTGATAGATCCCAGACATGGCCAGCAACAACAACACCAACAACAGTTAAGGTACAAATTATTGTTCACGAAAAAATAAAATTTCTAATACATATATGTTTTACAGCCCGTATCCATCAGTACAAATATTGGAGCATATTATAATTCCTGCGCCGCTACCCCAGGCAAATACTCAAACGCAGCCGTCAGAAATGGTAGCTTTACATCCACAATCCGCGATGGGTGACATGCATCAATTTCCGTAAGTTTACTCATTACTGTACCTCCGTTTATGTGGAAATACTTATTTTATTGTTACGTTACAGAAATAATCCAGCTCAACAACAACCAAATTTACCACTACAGCTACCTGTAAATAACGGCGGCAACAATCACTTTCAGTAAGTTACTTTTATTCTACATATAATCTATTTTTAATATTGTTTCTCTTATTGTTACAGTGCCCCGTTGCCTAGGGGGGAAAAAGATATGCAATTACTAAGAGAATTTTATGACCACGTCTCGCCGCCGTCTTCAGCAGCCATCGACCAAGAAGAGGCGCCACCACCACCACCGCCGCCGCCATCTCATGAATCGCCCAGATGGCACGAGCCGTCCACACCCCAAGAGCTGGCGATGTTATCAATGGGGTGTCTGGAGAAGATGCTGACAATTTTCCAGGCCAGACAAAGAAATTCCCAACTCCAGACGGAGCGTTTAGAACGGGAATTGGCTGCACCACGGCTTCAAGATGAAAACCTGCATCGAGACATGAAGTTTATTATAAATTACATGCAATTTTTAAAGAATAGCTAATTTTTCTTTTTAAATTTAATTTCACATTTGTAATAGTAGGTACTTCGGTAGGTACTTACGAGTAATAAGTAAAACATTAATGTAATGTAGCTAATTTTACGTAGAAAATACATGGATTATTTAATGCGATTGTTGATATTAATTAATTTAGTTTACCTGCCACAAACATTCACGGTATAACTTTAAATGCAATATTTACGTACCTACCTGAGTTCGAGAGAGAATACTAATCGAATTAATCATTATCACAAAGAAACACCAAAATTATTTTCCACAACACATCGCGAATCGGCGAATATCACTGTGCAATGAAATGAGGGCATACGCAAGTCGACATAATGCGAGCTGATAATTTTCTATTTTTACCAAATGCGCGATACCAAGCAGAACGTCTATTCACGGTAGGTACAGTGTACTCGTTTTAAAAATTGAGCGTTCATTAAACACCAATCCCCAAACTTTTTTAACCCTCTCGCTCGCAATTCCTACACAAGAAATAAGCGTGTTTGATCATACCACGTACAAATTGGTTCTAAAGGAAGAATGTCAGGGCAAAATGAATAAGCACCCTTTATACATTCTTTTTTAATACTCAAACTTTACATAAGTACAAATTGTCTTAATTGATACACAAGAATAACCATCATCGTCTTATTTATGCCATTGTCTCATCACACAAAGAAATAATCCTTGCCTTAACTGCTACTGTATGAAAGTTTGAATACGTCCAAGCATCACTACAAAATCAGTTTTTTCATACGGCGCTGAGCCGCTGACAACCCAGCATTTCAACATCCCACTTTAATTTTCTAATTTTCAGTAACAGTTCGTCAATTCTTTTTTCCCCATTGCATTGCAAAGATGATGTCGGTGCTGCTGCTGTGGATGATGATGATGGACAATGGCTCTTGACATCTCGCCTATTATTGAATTATTCAGAGCAAAGACCCATTACAACAAACACTTATATATTAGTTTAAACCACACCCATTCTTAAGTCGCCTTGATCACCCGAAAACAATACAACATTTTTGTTCTCAAACTTGAAACTACACTCGACAGACAAACACCGCATGGCATTGAAAGTCGACCAGGATCGGCACCCATTAAGCTTTGAGTGAGCCAAAATCGATATGACCTTAACGGCGGTTCGATTTTCTTAACGATCTGGGATAGCGGTTGAATTAGCGGTTTATACGTTCGTACAAACTCCACTTCTTTAATAAAACGATCCGCTTTGTGACGATTGTACTTTACGCGCTTGAACTATTCGTCGTTTCAAGGCCATCTCTTTAGTATCCATGATGATGCGATCAAGGGAAACAGGTAAACAAACAGGGGGAACAGCCTGTTTATTTTGAAAGCTGTTTATTTAAAAAAAAAATGTCGAGCTCTTTACACTGAGCGTCTAGGGGATTTATGCCGGGATCGCCTCGCTTTAGCCTTTTATCTAATTTAGTACCAGGTCCGCAATACTGATAGCCAGGAATATGTAGTTCCACTGGAAGTTTGTTTATGAGATTATTAACCAAGCCACTCCCATCCGTACACTTCCGCTTCCGACTCAACATTGTTGAAGTGTGGCAAGAAGTTGCCTCCATCAAATAAAAAAAAATGCTCAAATAGAGTACGTTTATTGACATATGTGATACATAAAATAAGTACATAGGTCGATAGTATAATAATTCCATCTTGCAAACTGTATTGTGAGAATTTACGTTAAACTTATAGTTTAACACATCTTCAATATCGCGATAGATGTTGTCATCGTCGCCCTCATCCTCGTCACCACATTTTGGAGCCTTTTTTTCGTTGAGATGATCTCGAGAGTGGGATGTGCATTTAAATAAGAGACCCAATTTCTCTCTCGTGAACAACATTTATTATTTCTCTCTCTCTCTCTCTCATTTACAACTTTTTTACATAAATGTTAAATTAGTAGTCTTCCCCGCCGTTCCAGCGCTTGTTATAAAGACTTCTTCCCTGGACAAGAAGTCCTTGAAGATCTGCAGACAGTTGTCGCTCTTGAAGTACTCATAAAAGCGCAAAGGAAGGATGCACTTAAAGTTCTCAGTATCGATCAGTATTCGATCGCCATACTTGGTATTGATTAGATCGATACCAATCACTTTATACTCTTCACCAACCTTCATATCCTTGACGTTCTTGAAAGGTTTGCAGTAGGTGCTACTGTTGAGTCGATTAAGATCCATTTTAACTGATTAGTCAACACTATTCGACTGATTCCAGGCACCGTTTTCTACCACCATTATATTGCTGACTGATGACCTTGAAATCTAGAGTGCGATAAACCATTACATTGCTGTATGGTGGCCTTCAAATCCAGTGCGATATATACCATTATATTGCGGTCTGATGTTGACCATGAAATCTAGTGCGATAAACCGATGATCGATGATTTTCTGCTAAGACGAGAGACAATATCTTACAAAATTGCTCTATTTTCCTACTAAAGCGAAATCTATCCAAGGCCCTTTTCGCGCTTCATTATATGCACATGACCACGCGATCAGCACATACACGCGATTGTTACTATCGTCAAATGTCACTTTCTTCATCGCCATATTATGTATTCACCCAACTGAGCCACGTTTAGTCCGTTCATAAGGCAATAAACGGATATTTTATAATTTAAAAAGCGTCTACATATTTCAATCCCCAACTCATACCTTTGGGCAATGTTTTGACACTGTTCCCTAAAAGTCTCAGGTCCATACACCGCCTCATGCTCAGCATCAGATAGTAATACCAATAAGGTTTGATGAAGGCATTCAACAGCCGTTCGCCACATATTCACCACAAATCGCCAGTAGGCCTCCCAACATCAATTTTTCCATACTGCGCCGACAACCCAAAATTTCCACATCCCACTTTAATTTTCTAATTTTCTTTACCAGCTTTCCGTTTCTGCCGCTGCTGCTGCTGCTGATGATGATGATGAACAATTACTCTTGACATCTCCTCTATTATTATTATTATTATTATTATGGACAAATGACTATTCCAATAAGCACCTTATATTACACCCCCCACTCTCCAAGTCGCAAACCATCCCTCGATAGCCTAAGAATTGCACCACGTTTGACCTTGACCACAAACAATACACCCTTTGTTCTCTCGACCCCCGGCGCGCTCTCGGCCTTTGAGATACGAAGCCGGCAAGAAGAATAATTACGTTTTACCCTCAATCTTGAGACGGCAGCCGAAAAATTACGCAACCCATTTTTTACACTCTCAGCGCTGAACTGGCACCGCCAGTGGCACCCCATCCCCCAGAAGAACACAAACATTAAACCCCCCTTTGTTCTCAGCGTCCGACCTTGAAATCCAATCGCCTTCAGGAAAAACAATTTGATCACACACAATACCCCCCCCTTAACACTCTCAGCAATCGACCTTGAAATCCAAAAACCTTGAAACGACCACGCAACACCACACCAATTTCACCTTGAACACCAACACTTTATTCATATATTCTTCAATGCTAAGTGGGCCAGGATCGATACGACCTTGAAAGTGAGCCAGGATCACCACGCATTCAGCTTCGACCCAAAATCGATATGACCTTCAAGTGAGCCAGCATCGGCACGCATTCTTTCAGACGGACACACCCCCACATGACCTTGAACACCAATGCATCGATACGACCTTGAAAGTGAGCCAGGATCGCCACGCATTCAGCTTCGACCCAAAATCGATTTGACCTTCAAGTGAGCCAGCATCGGCACGCATTCTTTCAGACAGACACATCCCCACACATGACCTTGAAGCCTCCGAAGAACACAAACAATACACCCCTTTGTTTTCACCAATCGACCTTGAAATCCAATGACCTCAGCCATCACCCCCTCTTACCAACGGCCTTGAACCGACACCACCACCCCCCTCCAAAGAACACAAACAATACACCCCTTTCTTCTCAACACTCGACCTTGAAATCCCCCCCCCCCCCCACTTACGCAATACCACTTTGACCTTCAACACCACTTTGACCTTGAAACGCTAACACTTCAATCATATGGCACTTTTCAATGTAAAGTGAGCCAGGATCGGCCTTACTATACTACTCGACTCCCTCCAAGCGAATCTTGCTTCCCTCCTTTTTGTTTTTCAGAATTGTATAGGCGACGGCCGGTGCGTACTTACCCGCGTAAGACTGCCCGGTAATAAAGAACTTGTTGTTCCCTAATTCTGGGAACAGGATGAAAAATTGGGAGAGAGCTTCGTGCAGTTGCTCGCCTATTACTGATTGATTGTGTGCATAACCGCCATCATCCGTAAAACTGAAGCCGGTTCCTACGGGATTGTCTACGTAAAGCATGGAAAATTTCTTAGTCCAACGGTGCTCGCGTATTTCTATTTGGTACGAGGAATTTACTTCGAAAGGTCCATGCTCACCGAAAAGTCCCGTCATCGATGAAGAACCTGGGCCACCTTGCAGCCATAACAAAACCGGAGCGTTCAAATAGTTACATTCGGAGGGAAAGAACCAAAAAAACGTGTTCGAATTATAACGCTCATTAACTGTCAGATACCCAGAGTAACTTTTAATGTCGCGAAATTCGTCGAATACAACTTCCGCTTGTAACTTTGCCTCTTCAACGTTGAATGACTTTATTAAAGGTGTTAACATTAAGGGCTCTTGGTAAACGTTCCGTACACTTTCGCTCGATACCTTCCAATTATGTAACAACACAACGATAAATAATGGCACAAGTTTATTAAGCATTTTTGCGATTACTGAGAAAACAGATGTGTATCTACTTTAAAATATAAAAGTCGTATAAATAGACGACAACAATAAGTTGTTATTTAATGATGATCGCATAATAGTTTGATCTCTGACACGTATTTAATCCGTATCATGACCTGTTAGTAGTGTAGAAATCGGCATTGTGCCATTTATTTTTAGCGTAACACAACGAGGCTGAGGTAACGCTTATGTGCACGATTTTCCGTCGTCTGTCTGTCTGTCTGTTCCATCGAGCTCTCAACCAACATTGGCCCAAAAGGTTTATTCTCACCCCCCCCCCCTTTTATGGCTGGATAGAAATACGTTTCGCTAGATTAACTTATTATAATTATATAATAAATAATCAATTTGCGTTTCAATGTTTTTCTAAGTCTCGTTGTGAAGTTATGGAAATGAAGCTCGTCG